ATAGCAAAGTTGTGGCAGGAGAGTGTGGGCAGACTGCGCTATGTAGAGAGGTGGGTGGGCCGAATTGAGACTCGGCCCTGAGCTTGCCCCTTCACAAAGGGAAGCAACAGAGGGATTCTGGGTGTACTGTTTGGGGCCCCATTTGGTGATGTCTGCCAGGCATTTAAGGCTGGTGAAGAAACAGGAATCACTGGAAATAGGAAACAAAGGCTAAGCTCTTCTGTGGGAGTGAAGAGGAAGTAAAAATGTATGCAGTGTAGTGGCTCACCATGACCTGAACAAGAGTAAGCATTGAGGGGATCAACATGCAATGAGCACTACTACATATCTTATTCTGACGGGTTTTATACAATGGGGGGTTACTTACATACTTTTCCCTTAGCTCTCCTCAGCCTTTTGGCTAGAAGCAAGTAAGATTAGGGGGCATCTGAACTCCAAAGTTTCCAGGCTTGGGACTTGCATATAGGATATCCCCTCCATGAAAAATAAGGTTCCCATTAGCATGTTTGCCCAAGATGGACCATTTCTTTTATAGTCATGCTCAGTGTTGGCTACATTTAATTAACTTTGTAGTTGGTTTGCATTTCTCAGCACAAGCTGCTTTTGGTAGCAGCTTAATGATAGATGATGTATTTAGTGAGATTTTCCCTTGTATACTAATATAAAATGAGGGATTTTTCCTCCCATGCTAATTGGAGGAGCAAGGGGGAACCTCATCTTGTATTTAAGTAAATTCAAGTTACTGAAGAAAATATATACTTTACTTTATGAGAAAAATAAATAGGACTGCATTTAGATACAGAGCTTGAAGAAGCTCAAAGAATCAATCTCTGAAATCAGGTAGTAAAATGTTCTCTCTCATTTGCCAGGGATTGCCATTTGAAGAGCTAAACATAAAAGTTCTCACAATATGGAAAACTGCCTCTATAGGCTTATAAGTAGCTCAGATGGATATGAATAAAATACACAAACCCAATAAAATTGGGTAGGCGTCACATATTTTGAACCCCAAATATTTCTTGGTAATGCTAAACATCAGACTAACAAGGACTTAACTGAAGAAACTCTAAAAATAACTAAGTACATGAATCAATAAATCTAAGAGCTTACCTGAAAGTGATTCTCCAGTATGGTTTTGACTGTCATCCTCTTCTGGCTACAAGCAGAAAGGATCCATGGATTAAAATAATGTATCCAAATAATCTAGAATAATTTTCCTAATTTAATTTGTTACTGGGTGAAAGTTTGTTTAGAAAAAAAAATTGAATTATCTAAAAAGGTCAGATAGGGAACGGAAAAAGGAAATATATCAGTTTTATCTCTCAAAAAGGAGACACAAAAGTTGATGAATTGCAGCCTTTTTATGCAACATCTTTACATTATGACCTACCATGTAATAGAAAAGCAACTGTTTTTTGCATCAGCAAATCATTTTTGTTCTCAACAGTTATTTAATATCAGTCCATCTGTGAATGAGAACAGAAAAGAACAGTACCACATACATACTATTTTATACACACACACATTGAATGACAAGTTATTCTTACTGTAATAAGAATTGTATCTCTGGAGTAGAGTGTCCTCTCTCTCCCCACACCCATCTTTGTGGTAAGGTGGTTGGTTTGTTTAGGTTTTTTAATGCAGTTTTACTGATTTTCATTCAGGATTGACTGCAGGACTCAATGTCTGAAAATGGTCAGCTGTAACAAGGTACAAGGTGCCCTCATGAGGCATAGTCATGAAAAATATTGTAGAATTGCAATAGGAGTCATTCACATTCAGCATAAAACATGAACAAGAACTTTCTAGTTTCTTTATTTTTTTCATAAGATACCAACAGCTGTTGAACAATTCCAGCTGCTTGACTTCTGAAGGTTCCCTCACTACTTTCTGAGGAAAGCCTGGCCTATACCTTCAGTTGGTGTAATCTGGCATAAACGGGGCTGCTAATACCACAAAAAGGGACTGTTCCCTTGACTCTGAGCAGCACTTTTTAAAGGCCTTTTTTATATCTGGGAAACAGTTCTAGACAAGAGCTGAACCTCCATCCTTGGAGCTTTTCAAGACTCAGCTAGACAAAGCTTTGGCTACAATGCTTTCAGTTGTGGATGGTCCTGCTTTGAGCAGGGGGGCATGGACTAGATGGCCTAAGGTCCCTTCCATCCCTGACTTCCTATGATTCTATACATTTTGCTGGCTCTTTTCTAACCCTCCTTCCTTTTAAAGTTAGCATGCACACACTTTTTGTCTACTAACCAAGCACAATTACTCAGTAGTCAGAGGATACAGCACATGATTCTGTAACAGCTAACAAACAAAAGGACAGTGCCTTGATTCTTGGGCTGGGACAAACTGAAAAAGGGGAAGAAGCGAGAAAATTGACCCTGGTTCTTCCTACCCTTCTTGGGCGAATGTAAAGCCAGGTGGAATATCTTTACTGCAGATTTAAAGATCAAAGTATGGGAGGGTGGGAAGTCCATTAGATAACTACAGTAAAACACAGTTGACTTTGGTATAGCATCATTCATCCAAAAGTATCACAGACAGCAGCTTGCAGGCCATCCCTGCAAATACAAGTAAGCTATGTAGGTTATACTATGCACTGTAACACAATACCCTAGACCTACTAGCACTTTCCATATTAGTAAATCTATTATAAACCATAAACAGTATATGGTTAAGTTGAATAGATATGATAAGCACTCACATGCACACACTCAAATCCCTGTGCACAGTCTAATCCAGTTATATCAAGGTAAATGACATCTACAATTCTAATATTCTAAAAGCTTAAGTCTGTCTGTCTGTAATGCTTTATTTGTGCTCTGGCTGACAAACAGCCAGTCAGAGCATGAAGAAGGAGCATAGAGGGAGGGCCCAGCTGAGGAAAAGTGGGAGCCAGGCTCCCAGCTACTGTGAAGCTACTTTCTTGATGGTGTTGTGCATCTAATTGTCTTCTCACAGTAGCCTCACAGAAGCCATGAGCCTGGCTACCACTTTTCCTCAGCTCACCACCCCCTCTTCCCTCCCCACCATGCCGGGCTCCCAGCACCCTTAAAGAGCCTTACGGACAGACAGATACACAGACAGATGGACTAAGCCCTTTATATATAGAGAGATCCAATCAGAAATTTCCCATTAAATGCTTAAGTGGCCCTGATCACAAAAGCAAATACATTTAGCCATTTCCTTCCATTACCTTGTGGACAACTATCCAAAAAGCAAAAACATCACAGAATATGGTACATGCCTAAATGAAAACCAACAACAGGTGAACCCTCATGACAATAAGACAAAAAAGGAAAGGACTGTTTTTTAAATGTTTCCCCTTTCTACCAGTTTCTTTTCAGTTCGATCTAGGTAGAATGTAAGTTTGTTATTCAGGAGCTTTTCACTCAAAACTGCCATGTAGGTATCCAAGTTCAATAAATCCTATGTATAGATATATCAGCTATCATTCACACAGAAGCCTATCTCCATTTTCTCTGATAGTTCTTGAACGAAAGGAGGCATTTTGGAGCCCTATGGAAAAAATTCCCAAAGGGGAATTTGGAAGGAAGAAGAAAAGCTTGTCACAAAAACTCTTTGGCTGTGTCCAGATGAGCAGGGCTATGCACCTGCAGCAGCACATATAGTAGCAGCACAAATTCACGGCACTACTTTGTCCCACAGCGCATGCCCCTACATGTGTGTTTTGTTGTGGGGCCCTGTGTCCCACTTTGCGCAAACTGTCTGTGCCCAGCTTCTCCTGGCTCCCAGTGTGCTGGAGCAGCTGGGGCACAAATGGAGGAGAGGAAATGCTCTGGCTGGCAGCCAGAGCATCTTCCTGGAAGACCAAGCCACCGTTTGTTCTGGCACATGCTACTATAGCATGCACCATGTATGGGGGTTTTTCTGGGGGGTTTTTTTGCTACTTGGAAACCTCAGTAGCAAATTTTGCTCCCGTGCTGCGAATCTGCAGTGCATAGTATGTTTTAACATTCCATGTGTGAGGTTTTGTGCCAGCACAAAGAGGTTTTGTGGCACCACAAGCCACATATGCCGGTGTGTGGGCATGCAGCCTTTGGGTTCATGGGTGACTCTGAAAGGATCTAAGAAATGGATGTCTTTCCCTTGATTTATGCCTACTTTAAGTTAAATTTAAAATAATGCATATATTTATCAAAAAAACTCAAATGGGTTCTTTTTGTCTTATGATTTCTTATTTTTTATGGTGAATACAGGTCACTCTTTCAGACATTTCCCTGAAACCTGGGACTTGCACCAAACATTAAAAATCTCAACACTTGAGACAAAATTGCAAAATTTGCCTATGCTAGGATCACAAAATCAGAAGCATGAAAGAAAGTAAGAATCTATTTATCTTGAACTCTGACCTGGATGCTAATTTTTTGTGTAATGAAAAAGACATATTTTTGGTGAGCTGTGTATATTTAAAAAAGCCACTAATTTGTAACATCTATCCCAAAATTTCTATTTCACCAGTTCATTTATCTTAATTTTTATCAACTGAAGTGCAGTTAGATGTATTTAACATCACTGTATCTCAAAAGTAATTTAACTGTCTATAGCAGGGGTGGGCAATTATTGTGGCTGAAGGGCCACTTAACAAGTTTTGGTGAGCTGTTGAGGGCCGCAAGGGTAGCCCCACCCCCTGGCCGCCATCTTGGGACCGGAAGTCCTGCCCCCTAACCCCTAACCTTTGCCACCAGAGGTCCCTCCCCTTGCCCTGGAAGTACTCCATTTGGGAAAGGGGGTTGCCATTTTGGAACTGGAAAAAAACTAAATTATATAGTAAAAATCAAACATCCATAATAATATATTTTAATTGTATTTTTAAAAAATATTTTTTTCCTGATTTGTGTGTGCGCGCATCATGTATATAGAGGTGATTGCATAATAGCTCAAAATGAAATCTTACTCATATATTGTGGCAGGTGTGGAGAGGTATGGGTGGGTGGGTATGGGGTTTGTGGGGGGATGTGTTTGTGTGTGTATGTGGGGTGTGGGTAGTGAGCAGGGCTCCCCCCAGAGGCACACAGGTGTCTGTGTGCAGAAGGTGCATGTGGGGAGGGGTATGGGGTGTGGGGCTTGTGGGGGGGCAAGGGGGTGTGGGTTGGTTTGGTGTTTGTGGAGTGTGTGATTGTGTCTGGGGGTGGGTATGGTTGTGGGGTTTGTGGGTATGGTGGGGTGTTCAAAAAATCCCCCAGTCTGTACACTCCTTAGCTGGTCAGCACCTGCCCCCCTCTCTGGAACAGCCTGGAGCCCGTGCACCCTGCAGCTCCTCCCCTCCACCGCCAACAGTGTGCAGCCACCACCCTGCCCTGCACGCGCTCCAGACTGACACTGGCAGGAGCAGACCAACTGGAACCCACAGCACAGCCCGACCCAGCCCACACATGCTCCAGACTCGTTTGCTCATGCTAAACAGCAGCAGCACCGGCCAGGCAGAAACTGTTTCTCCACAAGGAGGGGAAAGTGGCTCCTCCCCCTTGCAGCTGCCCAGTGCTTCCTGCTACAGCCACCTGGAGCCTGTGCT